CGTGCTACCAGCGTACGCTTCAGGTTGTATATATTAATATAGACAGATAAATATATCTCAGTAGAGCACAAAACAGAAACAAATGTGCCATGAATAAACATTTACATTTGTCATAAATCTATAATATGTTATAAAAATAAAAGTATCAATAAAATATTTTTATGTCTTCTGCAACTTGCGTACCAGAAGTTCAGCTGTGTTGTCACAACCGTGTCCTGCGTAATTACAGATCGCAGAGGGGCTTTGACATTTTCTGAGCAGCGAGGTCGGGTTCCTACACCCATAAACCACCACTGTTTTCAAGTCAAGTTTCTTTCGCTTTTCTTCACTGTGAATATAGACATTCACAAAAACTGGCTTTTTGATTTCTACATCCCAGTACTGCATGTATGTGGGTGTGCACCTACGGAGGGAGTGAAACAATTACCTTCTTAAAATTCTTTTGCAGGGGATTTGTTATGTCCCAGGTCCCACCAAGAGGCCTCGTTAAATCATTGCCTTGTTATGTTAATGTAATTACACTCAGTCCATCAATCAAGATTTTCTCCCTTTTTACAACAAACAACTATTACATAGTTTTCTGGTTGGAAACATTTTAAAAGCTTCACGTCTGATTTCCGTAAGTGCATACGCACAGACTGTATATTTTTAAACTTCAGAAGAGAACTTCATTTGTATAATACAAATAATTTTAAAGAAGAACCTAAGAGAACTACATATTTCCTGAAACCCTTAACAGATGCAGCTGCAGCATGGGATCATACCACAGAGATGTAGGGGATTCTCTTAACTGAGAAGCAGCACAGTCCCTTACGAAGCTCCTGCTGGCAAACTGGGAAGGGAAGTTTGTAATGCCCTGTGCTGTGAATTTTATCCATCTGTAATTTAATCGGCACTCTCCAATTTAAACATACCTGAACTGGGTCTGAAGTTTCTTGAACAAAGTCAGGTACTTTGCAGATACTGCTTTTAGCATGGGTAATGGCTAAGGTTAAGCAAATGCCTTCTTCCGGAGGGACTGAGTTTGTTGAAGCTGCTCATTTCAGGTATTCAGGCTGAATACTAAAACCAGATCAGCAAGTATCTAAGATACAAGTATGGAATGGTTAGCTAAATAAATAGGAAGTATGGGTGGCCACTGGTTCCTTCCTCAAGTGAAAATATGGTGTCAGTGTTTTCCACCACCAGTATTTTCCGGTGTTAGAGAATCTAAAACACGTGTTACAGCAGCTGTAGACAAGTAAGGGACTCTTAATGATAAATTGGTATAAAGTTTCAGGTGTGGTTGTGGCTTCTGCCTGAATTCTCAGTGACTGTGTGTTGAGTACAGTGTCTGAGCTACTGTTAAAATTCCTGCCCAAAAAGTAAAATGAAAACATAGGTAATATTTGCAAATATATATCAGTACCTGTGGAACTAGGAATAGAAAATAAAATTACATATTTAATTAGAAGCAAGCTAATAAATAATCAAATAACTGTTCACAGCATTTTTATACACTTAAAATATGGTTACAACTTTAAACATAAAATTCTGTGAAAAAATCTTGAGATTGTAGTGCTACATTTATATTAAAAATGCAGAAGGCCTTTGTAGTGACATGAGACAGAACAAAGCAAAATTACTGGGAATGTTTCCAAGTAATTTTCATAATTATGGTCTAGGAACAATTTAAAGTCGTATTTTGAACAGTATATTCAGTAAGTGAATGTTTGGTTTGACTAACGGTTTTCTTGGGTTTTTTTTCTTAATTTTTTTACATTTTAACTTTGGGGCAGCTTTTATGCCATATTATTATTTATATAATCTAAAAATAGGTTTCATCTTTGGTTTGAACCACAGCTCATGGGGTAATGAAACATAGATACTTTTAAATGAATGCATTAACTTTAAAAAAATGAGCCCAGCTCTCAATCACTGTAAATTAACATAGTTGATTTGCTGCAATGTAGCTGACTTGCTCCAATTGATTATCAGGCCCACTGTGCTTTCATATATGGGGCTATGGATAGCCTTTATCCAGCAGACTGCTTAATTGCATGTATGCAGCTCCAAAGAGGCAGTAAAATAAGCATGGACATATATAATCTACTGAATCTGTATCTAGAGTTCTTAGAAATGTATCTGCACCTCTAGTTTATTGTAATAAATCTATTCTCCTGCTTCTAGGCTTGAGAGTGCTTAAGCATGTGATTGTTCAGTCTACAAAGGAAGAAAAAACCTCTCCACTTCTCCACAGGCAAGTAAGCAGTCCCTGGCCAGGCTTCCGAGTGTGCTCCAGCTTGCCTAGCAAGCGATTTGCACTGGAGTTAATAAGTGTCTTTAGTCAGTGAGTAAGTTGTATTCTAACAGTGATGACTGAACACCTCTAAGCAACACAATGTATTTCAGCTGGAGAGAAGGTAACTGAAAATATCAGTCCTTGGAAGGATTTGTAGGGAATGAAAGAGGTAATGAGAAAACCCTCAGTGTAACCCTCACAGAATATGGGAATTACCAGATACTATATTATTTTCCCGATTGAATTTACTGTATATTGCAGAATATGATAGCCTACATCTACTATTAAAAATATAAAATATAAATCCCTCCCTAGTGGGATGATGCAAAGCTGATATGAGTACCAGTACTCTTAAACTGGTATTTATAGCTCTAGCTTGGAGACTTCCTTATATTGCAAGTTTGCCTCTTCATTCTAGTTATTTATTGCTCTTTGATTTTGTGTGGTTGTATACGCTCTCCTGCTAGTCACAGTGACTAAATTCATTCCTGTGCAAACAAAAAAGGTCTTAGGTAGGATTGAATTGCACTTATGCCTTGTGCTTTGCCTCTCTGTCAGACTGGATTTTGCTCACTGACAGAAAGAAATAATTAAGTCAATTCATTACGGACAAAATTCTCTTAGTTCTCTGTGATGGATCTTATCTCCAATATGCTGCTTTCGGAATGGGACTGTGCTTGAGGCCAGTGCAAACCAGAATAAAGGCTAAGTGATTTCTGCAGCATTTTTGAATTGGGGGAACATGCGAACACTGATGTAATCTTCCTAAACTCTGTTTGTGGAAATACACAGCGGCCACTCTTAAAAATAATCTGCTTTTCTTATGTAGGAAATGCCATGGTGGTTTTAAATACTCTTCATGCAAATTTTCAAGATTTAATGGCATCAGCCTGTTATTTACAGTGTTACTCTCGACATTCTGGGTAGGGGAAATTTCTTTTTTTTTCTCTTTGCATGCAAATCTTGCAAGAATAGTTGTGAATATTTCATAATTACTTGCAGGGAATATTAATTAATTGGTGTGCCTTAGTATTTAGTTTGTCATATACAATCTTACTCCATTTTTTAGGTGATAAAATAGCATAAGCTAATTATGGTTAGAAATGATAGTACAACACATACTCATCTTACTTCCTCCTTCCTTTCAGCCAGTGAGACCAAACCTTTTTTGTTGACTCTCAAGCAAGAAATGGTAGATTTAGTACTTACAGGGTTTTAGATGTTGGCAACAATGTAAAACAAATGACATTTTGGTTCTACACGAATATATTACTAGTACTATCTTGCCTTTGAACAACTATGTCATTGTTTCTTCATAAGGTGAATTCAGGAGAATAATTCCCACAGCCTCTTAGAGTTTGCGGTCACTCTGCAGCTGTGTGGCTGCTTCTTGTTTAGCATGTGGCTTTGCCATAGTAGAGTTGCATTTGCTGAACAGATCTCGCATTTCTAGGAGACTTTCTTCCACAGCTTTTGCAAACATGTCTGAAGAGGTTTCTTTACAATCTTTAAAGCTTGAGATGCAGAATAGTATATGCTCTGGCTGAGGGTTATAACATGCCCCATAACCATTGGGCACCACAGGCCCATAGCAGCAGAACATTTCCATAGTAGTTGGAACCTGGTTGCAGGGAGAAGGTAAAGGAGTGATCTCTGATTAATCAGGGCACCTGAAATCAGCTTGTTAGGCATGAGAGAAAAGATACACAAATGCTACAAATGGTGGAAATGTGGTGAATCCCCCTTGTAGAATGCCACTTCCTTCAGAAGTCCAGACCTGGAGCTGACACTTGGAAGGTAAAAGCTGATCTCGGTATAGAATTTGTTTGAGCTGTTTGTTTGCTACTGTTTGAAAACTGGTATCGTTTGAAGTGGATATAGTGCATTTCTTTGCTCACTTTATGTAGATCTTTAACTATAAGCTTTGTTACTGATAGATAGGGACTTTTTAAGGCCGTATGTAATGCTGGTACATAATATTATGATACGTAAAACTTCTATATGGTCTTTAATTTCTTAAGGTTATGTTAAACTTGTAATGTGAAGACTGTAATCAGTTACAGAAAGTAGTATTGTCCATTTCTAATAATAATTTATCATTGTGATTCTGTATAAATACATATTTTAATGCATCTAGGTGCTATATTTCTATTACACCTCGGTTTAAACATGGCATAATACAGGAGTGAAACACTTTCTACTGCAGAAAATAAAAGATGTGTTAGAAATCTGTATGTTTCAGACTTTGTGTACATGGGCCTTCACAAATGACATTTGGCTTTTTAATGGTGTAGAACAAGCCATTAGTCCTGCTAATAGAGCCATAGACTTGTCAGATAAATTTGCTGTGCAACAGCCGAAGGCCATAAAGCTATTCAGAACCACTCTTTGCTCATGGATAGTTTCTTGGAGAATTTATGTAGTAGTATGTTGGTTACATTCGCTCATGTCTGAAAGCCTACAGACATCATGACAAGATCAAATTACTTATTAAGGTTTTATGCTGTAGCATGATATCATAAGTCTCTTTTGTTGCATAGTTCCCATCTGTGCAGTTGGGTTAGTGTTTCAGGAAATGAATTCCTACACAGATTTCTTCTTTCATTAGGACTGCTGCTACATGCAATGAAACATTTAATTTTTAGGCTGTATGCTATAAAGATGTTTCCTTATTCAGAACATTAAATGTAGGAAGTGTTGACTCTTACAGCATCTTAGTATAGTTGCAAATAACTGTAAATCTGTAAATGTCTAAAATGTTTGTAAATTCAAGAGGCATGCCTGTACAGGTCGCAGTCTTACACTGAATAACTGAAGGCTCTCAAAGATTTCAAACACAGCTACTTTTAAGAGTAAAATTTCCTCATGGCTCTTGGCTTTTGTTTCTCAGAGTGGCAGCCTGTCTGGCTCGTGGCTGTACTGTCACGGGAGTAAAGAGTTCCCACTTAGAGCTGTCACCTTAGGTGAAGGAGGAGAGGAAAGGGAATGGGAAGATGTGTGGTTTGGAAAGTGAGGAAACACTGAGCCCTCATGTGAATTCTACTGAGTTTGTGTGCATTTCCAGAATTTCCAGGAAGGGCTTTGGGATGTTGCAAGGGAAGTGATGACTTCAATCAGTATTTACTGTGCTGATTTTGTGGAAGGAAACAAAACTGGATTAAAAATCTGGATAATTTTGCAGACTTCTTGGTGGTTCTTGATGGTACCAGCTGGTTTGTTTTGTTTTGTTTCGTTTTTAAACGTTGTTCTCACTGTGAGCTGCAAGGTCTGGCAAAACACAAATGAATTAGCCTTTGCTTAGCAAGACCAGTGAACAGGAGAAACTCACCTGGCTGGTTGAAAGGATGAATCGATTGCTCATCAAATATGTCTCGTCTGTAAATATCTCTGGCAGTTCCTTGAAGTGTTCCCGTGCCACCTCTCTGAGCCCTAGCAGATGATTGTCTATTGCCATTCCAGTAATAGCCTGTGTACAACATGATAAGACACCAGCATTTAACTGAGTATGGAGACATTTTTTGGCTGTTACTGCCTTGTTTTCTAGTCAGAGTTGAACTTGGTTTCAGGGATGTAATGCCTGTAATGTCCAGATACTACTCTGAGTATGTACTTTGATGATGATCAGTAATGCAAAATTTACATGGTGCTCTGAAGATGTAAAAATTAAGGAGGAGATGCTCTTGAGATGTATTATGTGCCGATGTTATCTGGCGTTCTGGGTGTTCATCATCTCTCAGAGCTGAGTATCATGGGCTGGGCTACCAAAGCTGCTGAGGGGAGCATATGGGACAGCAGAAATCTCTAAGTGTGTTTTGGAATTTCCTGTGCATCACTTGGATTATATTTCAAGACAGGAGGCTCCAAAGCACCTCCGAATTGGAACAAATTAATCTTCATTGCCTTGATGCCTGTGTCTCACTCTGGCAGGTAAAGCTTGTGTCATTCCATAGAATTTAGATCCAACGATCTAGTAGATGTCTGCAACAGATTTAACAGTGATCACAGAACAACAGGTAGATTGGCCAATGATCTATCACAGATCTACTAGCATACCGCGCCACTTGAGAAGACTGGGGTTAGGGACACAGATGCCTTCTCAATTTAATTCACTGCCCAAATATTCCAATTCTCTTCCCCTCCCCCTGTGCTGGCGTCATTGCAGAATTGGATTATCTCAGGGATAGCCCTCACTCTAATGAGGCAATTGAAAACAGTAAGTGTAGGTCAGCATAGTTGCGTGGTACCATAGCCCCGGTACCATGAGTCTAGAATCAAATTAAACAGGGTTTAACAAAGGAGAATAATGTGCTTGACAAGCAAGAGACCTAGAGCAGTCTGCTTGCCATCCTGCTTGCCTGCATCTCTGCTCACCTTCACCCCCAGCGCAGAACCAGCTGTGCTTGCCCCCAAACCCTGTTTCCGAATGTCCCCAGTTTCCTCTGCTGTCTCGTGGTTACAGGCAGCATGTGCAGTGGCTGAACGTTAGCAGCAGGGGCATGCTGGTGGCCAGCTAGCCAGCTCACAAGAACTACTGCCAAGCCTGCAGTAGGCCTTTCTGCCATCAGCTTGCTATGCTCGAGTCTCTCTGCTCTATCCAGCTACCTAATGCTATAGACTTAAGCAATTTATTAGCTTTAAGATCTTTGCCCTGCTAGCAAATGTGATCAAAGATGGCTAACAGGATCAAAAGTCAGTAGTGGGAGATGGGCAGACCGGATAGTTACAGAGTTTTGTTTCTTTAGGAAACCAAATTGAAATTTGTTCCAACCAGGCAGGAATCGCCTCAGATTAAAATGTGCATTTCAAATCCTTCAGTCTAGGTTTATTCTAGCTGGTGAGAGCATTGATTATGAGGACCAAGCTGTAGCTCATCCCCAGTAACAGGCTGAAGTCATGTAGGAAGGGAGTGCTGAACAGGGGACATGGTACTATGCTGAGAGCAGAACTGGATATCCCTGTGGCACAGGCCCCTTGTGACAAGGGAAACAAGCAACCTGAGAGAAGGCAGGATTTAAAAAAGAGCACAAGCTTGGTTTTCCTCTTAAGGGGAGAATTAAGAGAAAAAGCAAACTTGTGCGTTTTTTTTTTTCCCCTTCTTTTTTAAGAGGAGAATCATCTTAACCACTAATAATTGCCTGAAAAGGGGGCCGGGAGTGCATAATCTTGTCAGGCTTATTAAGGAATAGGCACCCATTGGTAAAGGGACTATTTGTTCATCAGCCCAGACAGAGCAAGGATGCTTGCAAAAAAGTAGCATACATCAGGGCAGTGTTTACGTTGTTTTTCCCATAGAGGGAAACTGACTTGATAATCAAAGGAAATATTTTGCTATCATGCAAGATTTATAAGGCTGTTAGCAATGACATTTTTGCAACATAGATCAATGTCTTGTCTGAAGAGAGGCCGAGACAGGCTAACGAAATAAACTGTGAGTCAACGCATAGGAAAAAACTGTGCTAAATTGAATTTTAGAGCTCCACATTTAAGATAGCAATGCTACTAGTAAGCTCTAACAAGGGGAAATAAAATCATTAAATTGCTTTTTGTTCTATGAAGTAGATCTTTTTTTTAAGTTTTTCTTAGGAGCTATTACATTTCAGTCTGTTACAACTTAGACCATGTAAGTCTTGCTCCTAGTTTAAAGGCACAGCAATTACATTCTGCTATTCTGAGAAAGAAAGGGGAGCTTGGTGAATAGAAATACCTGGAGACCTCTTTAAATTTAAAGATAATTTAATTTTCCGATAGCGATTTTAGTATTTTCCCATGACCTACACAAGAGGCTGAATTTTGTAACAGTTTCTGGAACTGAAATGACTTGGAGGGGGGATTTTATGGAAATATTTTCTTTTTTTAAACAGGTGTTGTACAGAAATTCCATTGGTTGTGACCTAGTAGACCTACAGTCTGTTGTGTTTGTTGTGAGGTTACTCTAAGATGGTTCAGGTGAGACAGTGCCCTGAAGTAAGACTTGCCTCTGCTTTAGAGATGATGTGGAGTCTCAGCTTCTAAGATGTGGGTTCCCAGCACAAGGCTTGAAACACAAAGCTGTTTTTCTTCCCTGCTTCTTTTGTTTCACAGTCTTAGGAGCAAATCCTGCCTGAAAGCAACACTTCACCTCTCCAGTGGTCTGAGTATACCTTTGAAACCACCTCTGGAAGTGAATGATTTCTTGAATATTGTGAGTATTTAAACAGTAATCAGCAATGTGGGTTTGTTAGGCAATGAGGCAAAACCATAGGTAGCAAATTCACTTAACATAGCTGGTTATTAACATTTATTAATTTTATGAGTGGTTTGACTAAGTTGTTTGTAGAGTAAGTCTGTGCTTTGTCTTGGCACAGTGGGATGTAGAGCATTACCCAGGCTGAATTGTCTCGTTTTTAATCAGCAGAAAATGAGTTGTATTTGATACTAAACTGATTTCTTCACTGGAGGGCATCTCTTCCTTTTATTAGATGCCGCATTCAGGTCTTTAAAAGAGAACTTACTATAATCATTCCCTCATCATTAATGACTGTTATTAGAAATGGCACTTTGGAATACCAGAATACACTTTCCAGAATACCAGTCCATCTGAGGGTCAGGTCCCAGATAGGGACCTCTCTCCTCTAGGGAAGAGAAACATAAGAAAATTCATAAATGGGGGGGGGGGGGGGGGGGGGGGGGGGGGGGGGGGGCGCGGTCAGGGAGCAGGGAGAGTTCCTGATGTGAAACAGCTGTCTTGAGCTGATCTGTAACGTTATATCTTATGGGTCTGAATACCTGCAAATTTAATTAAGGTGGTTGCTTTTAAGCCTCGCTTACTTCTTACCCTGATAAGGCTCTCAGCTGTCTGCTTGCCATACCCCATTAGAATACCCCATTGCCACTTTTCTCAGCTATCTTCATGGCTAACATTTCATGTTGATTGCAGGGCACACAGAATAAAGGCTTATTTCACCTGGCTACTGTACTCCCTTGCAAACCTTTCAAAATTTATATAACACACCCCTCCCCTTATTAAATTTTGATTGCAAGCTCTTTAAGATGGATGCCATTTTTGAATTGTTAATTTGTACACCACCAGGCTTAGTGGAATCCTAATTTGTGGCTGGGATTCCTAATTAGGACACAGGTACAAATCATAAAAGTTTCACAGATGCACATTCCCCATGAATATGTTGAATACAGAGTGTCATGTTCCATGACAGTTCTAGATAAGATAGGTAATGCCCAAGTGTGATGGTCTTGCCACTGATGTCTAATGCAGAATTTTGTTATCGTGCTTTCCAGGAAGTATTTTTTAAGGTGAGGTTAGTTGAATATGGTTATTTGGAGGGTGTTTGGGTCATCAGAAATTTTTGTAGGTGTGACATAGCAGGTACTTTCCTATTTAGAGATGCCTATGTTTTCTGGTGCTTAAATAGTTAATGATTGTATCTTCGTACTTTTCTTGAAAAAACTAGTCCTTATTCAGACAAAGGAGTATTTTACTTACCAGAATAGTGTAATTAGTCTGAGCTGCAATTGCATCCTTAAATCTCTGCATCTTCTCAGAATCCTGTTGTGGGAATCAAAATATATCTATTATTGAATAAACTCTCAAAGAAACAGCATCTTCCATGAATTAACCAGCAGCCAAACAGTAAGCACTCTCAAATGGCCTTTGCTCCTGGCTCAGGTGTAAGTACTCTTTATAAATGAAAAGCCATAGGGATTCAATGTCCTGAGCAGCAATGGTGCCTGGTTGTGCAAGGGTCAAACAAGCTTATTGGTGGTGGTGTGTTGGAAGTCAAGGAAAGACTTGCAGTTCCTCTCATGAATTCCTTCCATGGATTTTGGGCGTGTAGATTATTACGCATTGAATTGCTCTGTTTGAAGTAGCGAAAATAATTGCCTCATGTAATTCACTGTTTTCGAAACAGCCAGGCAGTGTATCTTCTCCAGAATGGTTTATCTAGTCAATGACAGTGATATTAATGAAAGCCATTGCTGATATTTTACTAGCCAGTCAAGAAATTACTCCCCTGTGTGAAAGGGCATCTAGAATTTTCCAAGGCTGCTCTACTCTCCACAGATGCCTCATGTTTCAGATAACAAGCTAGTAAATTTTGACTCCTGTCAAATGGCAGCTTTTTATATTAAGGGAACGATCCTAAGAAGTGCTGCCCTGCTGTACATCAAGTCCGACACTGCAACTTTGGGAGACCCCGAAACAGCCAGAAGTGACTGGGTCTCCAGATAAACAGGGGACCTTCATCTATGGACGATGAATGATCTTTTGAACAAAGAATTCATTTTAGAAGCAATTCAAGGCCAGGGACCTTCAAAGTACAGAGTCTGATATTTTTTCATAGGGCTAGAGCTAGGCCTTAGTTCCCTTGTACAGATTAAATTACCAAATGCAGTCTTTAAATCTGATTAATTTACAGCTATTCAAGCAATCTCTGCAGTGTCAGTTGCTGCTCCTTTTACAGCAAGTGTCAAATGCATGAGATATTTCTCCTGCTAGAGAATCAATCCAACCCAATCAATCTTCGGTGACTGTTTAAGCTATCATTTGAAGATAATTTTTATTAGCATCAGATAGAAAATTGTTTTTAATTTGATTTGGATTAATGGCTATTAACAAACAATATTTTGGGGGGTTCAAGGCTACTTAAACCAAGTGATGCCCCTCTGCCCAAAAAACAGGATTAACCCCTTCACATCCAGAGACAATCTGTAGGTCTAAAGAAATCACCTTGGAATAGGGTTGTATTAAGTGAATTTTGTTTCTAACGATTCTGTGATAATAATATATATAGTTTTGAACTGAAAGATAAAGATGTTCACATCAGAACAAAGATTTCTAAAAGTCTGTGGGAAGGAACAATCACAGATCAGTTTAAATGTCCTTTGCATCTCTTAGTGGGCAAGAAGCCAGGAAAACTATCGGTGGATTGGTTTGCATTATGATTGCAGGTTTTTCAGGAGGAATGAAACCATTATTCTCCCTATTTGGTACTGCCAAGGCATGCGTATAAAGATTTGGGGGCTAGACTGAGCTCACTCTAGACACACATGTCACTCTTCTGCTTGCTTGTGTGAAGCAGTACAGTTTAGGATGCTGTGAAAGGTGGGCACAATCTCAGATCTAGGTGGTAAAACAGTGAGAAATGCTGAAGTCAGTAAGAGTTGGCATAAGTAAGGTAGGACGCAATTGTTGGAGGGAACAAGAAGGATTTGACAAAACAGCGTGCTAGGAGCAGGCTGGCTCCTCCTAGGAGTACAGTCAGCCTGCAGCAATGTGTCTTGGGGCTGGGGGGTACGCTGAGCGCTCAAGTGTGGATAGGAAGGTGTGCACAGATGACAGCAGCTTCTAATGAAATACGATTAAGAACCATGTTGTCAGACAGGACACTGACAGCAAATAACAACAGCCTCTTCTTGTCACTATTATGTGTAATAGTATGGTCATAATCTGCCTTGAATTACCCACTCAGCGTAGGGAATTACTTCCAGTTTCCTTTGAGTTGACAATTTAACATGGTACTTATTTGAGTCTTGTTCATCATGAGCTAAGTTCTGGGCATGGTAACCTTAAGGAGACTGAAGAAGCAGTGGAGGAACAGAGCACTTCTCTGGGCAGATTTTCCTCATCCTCTGGGGCATTTGACCCTGGTTTACAATATTTCATTAATTTACACTTAACCTACAGCCCAGCAATACTTCTAGCGGTGCTATGCTAGATTCTAAAGAACAGCCATATGGGCTGTTGCCACTGCAGAAGGCTTTTACTGTGCAAAATAATCTGTATTGTGGCAGTGTTTTGCTTCTAAAGAGCCACCTGGAAATTCCCTGTACAGCAGCAAAGTGCAGTGGGTGGAAGTGGTACACAGAGAGACGTTGAGGGAGGCCCTCCAGGGATGGCGGGAGGGACAGTGCACAAAGCTGTTTGTGCCGCTATAGTCTCAGCACTCTCGGCTGTACCTTACCTCTTTGCATCCCCATCTACTATGTACAGTACTCATGCTTCTGGCAAACAGATGGTTGTGGCTCAAAGAAAGGCAATTTAGTTTTTCTTTTTGCAGGATGATGTCAGGACAGTTTGGAGAGTTGTTTTATTAGCTTGATGAAGTTTTTTCATCATGAAGCTTCAGCCCCCTTGAGGATCCTAAAAACCTAACTCTATTTGGTAGAAACATACCTTTTAAAACCAAAAAGATCAGCCAGAACATATCCACCTTATCCAGAAATCAAAGCATGTGAATTATATCACTTCACACATTGCCATCTGCAGCAGAGCTATCTACTGCAGGGGACCTGCCAGGCAATTCCCCTGGTGTGGCAGTATAATGATCCTGAACTTCTCACGTTCAGCCCAGATCTCTCCAGGGAGCAGAATTTGGATCTGATGATGGATCATTCAGAAGACAGTACTAAGTCTAAAATCAGATGTTTTGTTTCTTATAATGTTAAGTTTAGGCACCTCTGAATCTTTTGGATGCTTAAATAAAAATAAGGAAATATTTATGTTTAGCTTAACGGTTGTTTGCACAAAAAGCAAAATCCTGTAAGGCTTGCTACCCTGCCCTATGCCTTCATGTTCTCAGTTAACAGTTATAAAGTGAGAGGTTGGGATCACGAATGCATTCTTTGCTTAGTGTTTTGCCAAAGAAGGCAGAGGGAACCAGACCAACATACCGATAGAGCTGTCTTGTCATCAGTCATTGCTTTTACGAAAGCAAATGCTTCCAAGGTAGCAGACCTGATATTGTCGACTCTGCCCTCATCAAATCGGCGTATGGAAGCACTTTCGTAGGTAGGGACAAGTCTCCTGTGGCATCTGAGAGAATGAAGTAAGAAAAACAAAGAATAATTATTTTCAAGGAGTCGTGAAGACTAAAAGAAATATAGGCTTGATACGTTTTATTGTTACAGCCACAATTTTGGGTTTTGCATAGCATTCATCTTAATGTTGATAGAATTCTATAAGAAACTTAAAAAAGATGGATGCTTACTCCTATCTAATATGAGGAGCTGGATACAGCTGTATACATTTTAGTTATGCATTGCCAGTAAAAAATGACTTGCTGTGTAAAACAAGGCTAGTAAAACTAAAATTTACCGAAAGATCGCAAGGAATATTTTATTTGTACTGCATCATAAAATAATTGTGTAATTAATCATTTACTTATGGGCGTGAAATGTGTTTTATTTAAAACAAGAAAAAATGTACTCTGTGTGTGAATGAAAAACAGAAAACTGAAAGGGGAAAAGGGTGCTATTTGAGATGGTGAGCTGGAATGAAAAGCCACATAGCAGATATAACAGGGTGTAAAGATTATTGTTTAATTTTGGGTCCAGGTATATAGTTACTATTCCTCGCTTCAGGAGACCTATTGTGCCTTCCAGCTGAAGCAGGGGCCTCAGAACATAACTGTTCCCTAAGGTTTTTGTTGCATACATGGGATTTATGTCATGGCTGTGATCCAGATGAAAATCTTGGACCAGGTCATGGTTGGAGTTTGGTTAATGGAATACGCAAAACGGATGTTTAACATGTTAATGGGTACGCAAAATGTGTTAGGCATCTCTGGTTTTGACTAGGTAAAGACCGCTCCAGGATTTAATTTGATGCGATAAAGAATTATTCATGTAATAGGCTGTTCTGCAGGAAACCATGTGACCAATCTCTAGCTTGGAGCATTAGCTGTTCTGACAACATAAGAAAGGAGCTTTTAACTTTGATAATGCCATGAAAATTAGAGGATTTTATGAAATCTTGGGATGCCTGTGAAGAACAAAGCAACAGTAGTTACTATCCTGTGTAGGAACTCTGATCTGATGTGCTGCTGTAGTATTTTTCCCCATGAATGCTTTTCCCCCTGTGGTGCAGGGGATGCGTATGTGGTGAGCTATGGGTTACTGCCAAGCTAACCAAAGTGGCAAGGGAGTGTTTGTGCCCCAGGGCTTTGTATTCCCTAGCTGCTTCTGCTGCTCTGGGTTGCAGGGTTGTTTCCCACTCTCTGCCCCATCCCTGCATCCTCTTCTCTATGCCAAGCGCAGGGACAGCTGTGGGGAAGGTACTGGCTGGGAATGGTGTGTGTGTGTGACATGGGGATGGGTGGAGCAAGGAGAGGGAAAAGGGAGGGAAGGAAAGAAATACTCTGTCTCAGAAGTGAGTGGCAATTTCTATCTTGTCTGACCTACAGTCATTAGGCAAGATCACTCATTTCCATGTAGGAGGTATCTGTTTAGGTGCCGAGTTAAAAATGGACCTCCGTATTTAAAAAAAAAAAAAAGTGAAACTCCTCTTGTGCTACCTTGTTCCTATGATTTGAATTAACCTTACCTGTAAAATGCCAGCTGAAGTGCTACTTGAATGTAGGCATCTGGGCTAATCTTTTGTTTCTTAATAAATTCCTTTCCATAGTTCTCAAACTTGTAGGCGATAAAGTCCAGATTTTTTACTATCCTGGAAAACAAGCAGAGGCAGTTACTACGGGGGCGGGATGCAAGAATCTCATGTTCCATTTCCATTTGCAAATAAAACCCAGAGATCATTGCCTGCCTGTACCCACTTGGAGGTGAGGGGGCTCCTGCTCTGCCGACAGTCCTGGCCTTTGGTAACTTGTTCCTAGTCAGTAACTTTTATTCATACATGTTCTAGACTGGGCTTGTTATCTGCAGCCTTAATGTGAGCTGTGGCACTCAGGTCATTCTGTTCATTAGAGTAAAACGCTTTTTTTTTTTTTTTTAAATAAAATAGTATTTCCACTCCTGAAGCCTAAGTCAGGGCTGCCTTTGCTCTCAACAAATTTCTGTGAGATTTACTAGCGTGAGAAATGCATGGATTTAAAAGATGGTGAAGACTGTGAGCTCCTTGCAGGTCTCAATTTAGAGGACTACTACCTTTATTTCAAACCAAAAAGGAAATACTCTGCATCCTGAATGTTTTCATACTTTCATGTATGCTTCTAGCCACTTTGAGGTCTCATTTAATGCAGTCACACTGGGCATACTTACAGCTGATCACACAGACAATGTGTTAATTCTCTACAGACTGATCACAGGCCTGACTGTTGAGGTGAAATAATTTTGAAAAAAATCTCTCATTGCTATCCCCACCCCCAAAGATCATGCAAATCTTTTACAGTCTGGAAACACAGTCAGAAGAACTAACCTTTGTAGTAGCAACATGGATGTAAACAAATTACATTCCTGAATTCAAATAGTTTATTCAAACCAGTTGTGTTCTACTGTCCCATGTACGTATCCCCATTGCCCTAGCTTTGGCTTTAGTCAGGTCAAACCCGTCCAGTGCATCCACAAAAACAGAGGACCTGCACTGTTTGCATCCTGTGCAAATAGGACTCAATGTTTTTTCCAGTGGTCTTTAGCTTTCCTAATATTTACATGGATGGAAAACAATGGTAATGCAATTCCTGAATACAGTGAAGTAGCTCCAGCCCATGAGGGTGCCATCCTGCAAAGAGATGCTAGGTATGTCCAGTTTGGGAAGATGAGGAGGAGCAGGAGGGCAGGGAGAGCCTTCTAGGAGGGAACTCATGCTTGCACTCACTGCTCTGGGTAGTTCCTAGCTTGCAGTCACTGCTGAGAAAAATGAGGCATCTGTTCTACCTTTGGAGTTTTTCTGCTGATGACGCCAAACGTGCCTGAATTTCAGGGGAACATTTCCATCTTAGTCTCCGTGGAGCAGGAAGCTCGCTCACGGAATCGGCTCGAACTAATTTCTTGGAGCTTTCTTTCCTGTTAGTATGTGAGAGAGAAGTCATTAAGGTCACAGGAATAACCTATTTAAACACTGCTTTTTTAGCAGGTAAATGACTGTTTTCCAACAGTTGTATGGGTCTTAGTGGCCCTGGGCATCAGAGGAATTTGCCACTGGCAGAGGCTTCCCAGGGGCTGGAGTGGGTACAATAGCTGTACTGAAACGGGACTCACATGTGCTTGAGCAAGTGTTCAGTGCACTGCACCAGTACGATGCCGTCGAAAGGGGAATGTTCACACACAGTACCGCAGACTCCGTCTCTTCCTACCACAAACTAAGCAAGGAAAAAAACAAGTGCAAGTTATATAGGGAATAAATCATGTTCTGGCTATGTTACCCATGATGGCAACCTAATGAAAGATGTTGTTGTTCTCCTGTGGGTTTCTTATTGCTCATATCAGGAACTTCCTTGACTTACAGATCAGTAGGTGACTTACAGCCTTATTGCAGGAATCTTTCTTGTCCTGTGAATGGCATTGCAGTGGATCCCTTTCATGCTGCTATTTTGGACTGAGTCCTGCAAGAATGTAAATTTTAGCAATTCCCATTGGAGTCCGGAAATTGGATTTAGCATCTGCTTTATGGTAGAGAAAACCCGTCAATAGAAAGACAGGCTGGGGTTCTCCTTCCACATTTGGGGGCAATGCAAATTCTGTATCTGGGAAGTCCCTTATGATCACATTTTATTACAAATATCATATCAAACAAGCAAGCTCATCCTTATTTGATAGCTTTCTCATAGTGTGTTTTACTGCACTGCTTCCTCCTTACCTTTTTTTTTGTGGCATTTTCTTCATTTCCCTCTTACTTGTCTTCATTCCTGATTTCATTGCATACACATAGTATAACTGATGACACTCAACCTGCTGCACTGTAGTTCTGTGATACCCCCAAGCAGTTGGTTACTTCTGCCTCTCAAACAAAAGCAGATGTCTAGGACAAAACTGCAAGTTTTCTCACATTTCCTGTCTTTTTTCTGGACTTTCCCCCCCACTACTTTTGAAGTGGCTTTGGCTGGACTTCTCCCACTCGGCTCACTCTGTGCATTTGTATCACACGTAGGCATCCTGCCTCCCTGGTTCCCATGAGGTTTTCACAGTGTGTGTGATGTAAAAAGTTTACCTGGACATTTTCTGATGCCTTAATGCAAAATTGAAGAATATGGAGAGAAAGAACAAGTCCTACTGTGAGAATGGCTTCCTATGTAATCTGCGATTGCATGAAAGAAAATGGGAACATTTTTCCCCTAAGAATTTCTCTTTGCCTTTGAACTACTTCTGGCCTGAAGACATCTGGACAGATGAAGCTATCCCATATACTATGCAAATTTATTTGCTTTCTGCTACCTTCTGCTAGTAAACAAAATCTTGTTTATTCTCATCTGCTTGAAACATCTCAACTAGTAGCCCTCCAAATAACAGAGGATTCTAACTAAAGACAAGTGGTTTGTTTAAAAACACAGCACTGGAGTCTGCTAATAATGTCATTTGCAGTGGCATAAATCGGGAATGACTACTGAAATGTATTTGCACCAGGGTAGGTCAGTGCAAGTGAAATTAGTGGTTTCTCTTTTCATGTCGCTGTTCTTAGATATAGCAAAGGCATCAAGCATTGTGCAAGCAATGTATCGGGGTTTTTTCACTTTTTCATGACGTGTCAACATTGTTGACAGTGGGAGATGAATACATTGCTTCACCCTGGTTCTGCTGCAAAATGTGAAAATAACAGTGCGACACTTTCAAAAGCAACAATCAAAATCTGATCGGGAAAAAGGCTGGAGAAATCAATACTTCTAGGAAAGTCTCAACAAGGATGTCATTAAATCAGTAAAGAGGCTGTTGAGCGAGAACTTAATACTAACTTAAACACATGCTGAATTAGAAGCAGTAGTATTTGTAGGATATCAGGAAAATGTGTGAGAAAAGAAAACAGGGAAAGCTCTTGTGCTTTTCTTTTTTGTTCTGGGATGCTAGTCCAGCATTTTTATTTCATTTGATTGAGTGTAATTAAATGTGTACTTTTTTTTAAAAAAAAAAAAAAAAATCAGATGTCCACCTACCCGTATGT